CCTCCACGGGGAATTGTATTAATCCTTCAAAGCCCCAGTGCATGGCTCCTTCTTCCACGCAGCCTATTCCAATCCCCTTTCTTCTTTAGAGAGTCCGGGCAATCATGGGAAAATAAAAGGACTCATTTCTGGGGCACTTAATATCATCCAACACCGCCGGAAAGGCTTTGTCGTCAGCCCCTCTCCCCTTACAGCTGTCTGATGCAGTGGCCACGTCGCTCCCCACTTTACAAGACTAGTGCAGAAAGGCCATGCAGCCCGTCCAGAGCACACAGCTTCTAAGGAACAGAGGTGATCCTCAAACCCAGAAAGCCTACTCCAGACCTTAACCACAGCGCTAATCTCTCCTTTATTCATGATTTCCCTTCCCATGGTTTCTGTTACCCATGGTCAGAAAATATTACATGCAATGCTCTAGAAATGCAATTTTTAGGTTTTTCTTAGGTTTTCAAGAACTTTTCTATGTTTGGCTGTTTTGCCTGCATGCGTTCTGTGCACCACAGCCATGCAATGCCCATGGAGGGTAGAAGAGGGCAGAGGATCCTTTGGGACTAGAGCTACAGAGAGTTGTGAGCCACCTAACAGTGTGTGGGTGCTGGGAACCGAACCCTGGTCCTCTGGGAGGACAGTCACCGATCTTAACTGCTGCGCCACCTCTCCAGCCTCAATTCTCACAGGTTTTTAAACTGCATGCTGTTGAAAGAGCACAATGACATCACGTACTCTATTAGTTACTTTTTCTGCGGTTGTGACAGTATTCCTGGCAAGAGCAACTTAATCAAGGAATGGTTTTTTTTTTTTCCTGTTTGGCTCATGGTTCGGAGGTGCTGTCCATCATGACAGAGAAGGCAGGACGGCTAGTGCCACTTTATCTACAGCAGCAGGCGCGTGAGACATGTGGCAGTGTCCACGTCACACCCACAGTCAGGAAGGGAGTGTGGCCAGCGTGTGTGGATGCTGGTGCTCAGTGTGCTTTTCACTTTCCGTTCCGTCCAGGACCCCAACCCAGGGTGCAGTGCTGCTACATTGCTACATTCAGGGTGGGTACGCCTTCCTCACTTAAACCTTTCTGGAAACGCCCCCCCCCTACATGTGCGCGCTTCCACAGTGATTCTAATCCAGTCAATGAGTCAATGAGGAAGATTACCCATCCATAACATTCTGCCGTCCCAACTAGAACATGAATCATGTCTTTGCCCAATGTATCTACACGGTGCACACTTCCTGCCCATCAGCCATTTACTAGCTGTATTGGTTAACAGATTGTCTGCTATCAAAATGCCTGTGGTGAGATGACCCCTATTTGCCAAACAGTGGCCCAAAGCACAGGAGTAGTGATGCAAAGGAGACACCAGGACACCAAACATGGAATGACAGAGTGGGATGCATGGAAAGTTGTACATATATGTAGGCTCGGTACTGTGCAAGGTATCAGGAATCTTCTGGGGGTCTTAGAGCACATCCCTTGCAAATGTGAGGGCGCTATTTCATATCCATAAGTTTGGATGTTGATATATGGCCTTGTTTCTTTCTATGGTATGGAAAGGAAACTTCTCGTCTTGGTGAGATCAGTTGCCAAGGTTGACTGATGACACTGGAAGCATGGAGATTGTAGCATCCCATTTCCAAGGCTGTGCTGCCTCACTAGAAGCGTCCTACAAGGCAAGATCCTCCCCAGGCACCTCCTCTACCCTCCTTACAGCCCCTGGGATCTCAGGGTTCTCACAGGCCTCTAGAGCTGCCTTGTTGCTGCCTGGCAAGACTTCCTTCAGATGGACAGCTTCCAAATCAGTACAAGTAGAAAGATCCATCTAGAGACCGCCTCCAGAGTAACTGTTCCTCTCCATGTCTCTCCCCTTCTCCATCCCACCCTGTATCGTACCATACTCAACCCTAGAAAAGAATGAAGTCAGAGCCCAGGATAGTAGGCATCTCCACAGTATCTCCTGTGAGGCCAAGCTTCTCAGGCCACACTGCTTTCAGTAGAGACATCTGCAGTGTTGGGGGAGCAGATTGAGTCTGAGTAGAGCTGAGATGCGGTTTCCCTCTGTGGGGCTGGTGACAGAAGTTCCTCAGCTGGGTAAAGGTGCCTAACTAAGCAGGAGCAGTCAGGGCTTTCTGTCTGATGCAGGAGGTCACATGGGGTTGGCTCCTGGAGCAAAGTTCCCAGTATCTGTGGGCACTCCCGATACAGCAGGCTGGGAAGCCTGGCAGCTCTACCACGCACAGTTTAGCATCCCTCCATTGGCGACCTCCATCAGCCAGGGTTAGCATCACTCAGAACGCATGTCTCACAGCAGGCTGGAAACTGCTGTGTCTACGTTAGCACTGTTAAAGGCCAGGCAACCTTCTGTAAATGGAAGACAATGTGCCTAGGGCCTGACCCAGGGGAGAGGCTGTTCTACTTTTCTCTCTCCTGCTTCCTCATACAAATATGTGCTGAACATTTGTGCCAAAGCCTCCGACGGAAAAAAAAAAAAAAACTGCTGAAAAGACATTATCGCGGACTTCACTGGGTTAACAGCCCATGGGGGGCAGCCAGGACAATCTACTCTGCACTCAGGAAGTTCAAGGGCTGTAGCTCATGGTACCACAGCAAGATAGGGCCGAGAGTCTGCAGGACCTTGAGGGGTAGCCTGAGATCTGGCTCCTCTAGGGTTCTCCACACAGGGAGGCTCATGGGGAGTGGGAGGATATGGGCTTCAGTACACAGAGGACTCTTTCTGTAGAGGGGAGAGGAGCCAGCCTGGAGGCAGGGACACCCACAGGACAATGATGGTGGGCGGGGAAAGTCCTGGAGACCTGTCCCAGGGAAGTGACTGCCGGGGTGGACAGGGATGCTGTTGGGAGCTGGATGTATCAGGTGACCGTTGATCACAACTTCTGTGGGGTTGGTGACGCCTGTGCTCGCATCTGCCCTTTAGTTTGAGGAAGCTATCAGCTTCCCTTGCAGAAATCCTCCGTGAGAGCTGGAATGGGTTTCATCCCGCCAGAAAGCAGGTGGCGTCTACGTGCGGGTGAGACATCTCATCCCTGGACTGTTTTCACAGGTGGAGAAAACAGTTATGCATGGGACTGATCCCATGCATCGCACCCTAGGGTTGGGAACAGTGGGGAGCTGGGAACCAGAGGAAGGGACAGCCTAGTGCTACAGAGAACGTGTGGCCCATCTGCTCAGGACAAGGTGAGTCCTTGGGTCCTTGCTGTGGTGGGAAGTTAAACTTGGAGAAAAGAAACAACGCTGGTGCTTTTGGTTTCTTGGGAACTTGACATGGTGAAAAGGGATGACCCTGGAAATTCTAGTTCCTGGTTCCGGAGAAGTCAAGATTGACCTGAACTTCTGATATGAGACATGGTGGCAAATAAAGGTGTGATATTCTGAGGTAGAAGCCAAGAGAAAGGAGGATGGGCCAAGCAGAAAGGCTCTGTGTCACCTGAGTCTCTGTGTGGCCCCACTCACTCTGTGACCCTTTGTCACCCGAGTCTCTGTGTGGCCCCACTGCTCTGTGACCCTTTGTCACCCGAGTCTCTGTGTGGCCCCACTCACTCTGTGACCCTGTGTCACCCGAGTCTCTGCGTGGCCCTACTCACTCTGTGACCCTTTGTCACCCCAGTCTCTGTGTGGCCCCACTGCTCTGTGACCCTGTGTCCCCCGAGTCTCTGCGTGACCCCACTCACTCTGTGACCCTGTGTCACCCGAGTCTCTGCGTGGCCCCACTCACTCTGTGACCTTGTGTCACTCTTTTGTTTCTCCCCAGTCTCTAATTCTAGACCGAAGAACTTGGCAGCCCTCATGACAGGGTTCCTCCTGTCTTTTTCATCTGATGTCACATCTCTCAACCAGGCACAAGATCCCTGTCCCTGTACTCCATGGACCCAGCACTTGGCTGAATACGAGCTGTCTGGAGCTAGAAAGGGGCAGTTGGGAACAGACAGGAGTCAGACCCACCTGAGCTCATCAGGCACAGCATTGCAAGATCTAGTCACACCTGAGTTCAACAGACTCAGCATTGCAAGATCTAGTCACATCTGAGTTCAGCAGGCCAACATTGCAAGATCTAGTCACACCTGAGTTCAACAGACTAAGCATTGTAAGATCTAGTCACACCTGAGTTCAACAGACTAAGCATTGCAAGATCTAGTCACACCTGAGTTCAGCAGACTCAGCATTGCAAGATCTAGTCACACCTGAGTTCAGCGGGCTCAGCATTGCAAGATCTAGTCACATCTGAGTTCAACGGGCTCAGCATTGCAAGATCTAGTCACATCTGAGTTCAGCGGGCTCAGCATTGCAAGATCTAATCACATCTGAGTTCAGCAGGCCAGCATTGCAAGATCTAATCACACCTGAGTTCAACGGGCTTAGCATTGCAAGATCTAGTCACACCTGAGTTCAGAAGATTCAGCATTGCAAGATTTAATCACACCTGAGTTCAGCAGGCTCAGTGTTTCAAGATCTAGTCACACCTAAGTTCAGCAGACTCAGCATTGCAAGATCTAGTCACACCTGAGTTCAGCAGGCTCAACGTTGCAAGATCTAGTCACACAGCTTTGCAAAATTGTGGGACTTTCACTTCTACAATTCATCTCATCTTGCTCTTGGACTCCTCTATGCAAGCACCTTAGAAAGACCAGGGAAAATACTTCCCAGTTAAGTGGGTGCATGCAGCCTTCCCTAGCACAAAAATATCTTTCAGATTAACTTACAATCTTATGCATAAATACTGTCTTTCAGAATTCAGTGTTTCCTTGAGGACTGTTTCTTTGTGTGTGTGTTCATGTTTGTGCAAGTATATGTATATATGCAGATATTTGTGCACGTATGTGTGTGTGCATGTGAAAACCAAAGAACAACATTATCCACTTTTTTGTTTGAGGCAGGATCTCTCACTGGCCTAGAACTTCCTAACTAGTCTAGGCTTGGCCAATGAGCCCCAGGAGTCTGCATAGCCTGCCTAACACTGAGAATAAAATCATGTGCCAGAACTCCAAGCTTTTTTCTTCTTTTTATTCATGGATACTGGACTTTTCACTCACGTCTTTGTGCTTGTAAAGAAAATACTTTGATGTTTTGGTACAAAGAAAATACTTTGCCAGATGAGTTATCTCTACAGTCCTCTGTTTTCTTTTGCCTTATTTCTTCTTTCAAAGAAGGCAACCACCTGCGGGCATCCCTTGTGATCCCCATGGCATAAGAGAAAGGTCTCAGGCTTGCATGCTACCCTTTGGACTTCATTTGTATTGCCCAGGTATCTGGTCCAGCATCTAGTGCCCACAGAAGTGCTGAGCCTCAAAACCCTGCCCACACCTCTGGTTGTGAAGTTGGTGACAGTTACATATAAGCTATGTCATGCTGTGATGACAAACATTTTGGTGTATGTATCAGAAATTATCTTTTTGTTTGTGTTATGAATCAGCATGAGTCAGCTTTGGGCCAGCCACATTAATTGTCTTTACCTTGGGTCTGGCTGATGAAGTAGCCCTGATCTAACACATTGGTGGTGGCTGTGGTAGAGGTAAGGTTTCATATTTATGAAAACATATTATGAAACATGGAGGACTTTGGGTCCAAGATGAAATGCTCCACCTGGAAGTGGCCCATGGTATGCTACTCATAGTGCCTTGGCCAGGGCTTATCAATCATGGGGTCTCACTGTGGAATAAGAAGTTCAGTCTGAAGAGAAGAGTCATAACCGACACCAACAAGTGGGGCTGGGGATGCAGCTTCATGGCGGAGGGCACTAGTGTGTATGAGGCTCTGGGTTCTAGGCCAGGCATGCCCAAAACTAAAAAACAAACAAACAAACAGTGATATAACAGTGATATAACAATCCAAGCCACACTAATATCTGGTCTGTAGACTCCAGTGCCTTATCTCCCCTCCCACCCACCTTGAATTCACCATCGCTGGCCCCAGGGCCTCTTCAAAGCCTGGGAACACAGTCAACTGTGAGAATGCTCTGGGCTCATTGCTTTGACCCTTCTTCCACCATTGCTAAATCCCAACCTGGGGTGTTCCGCGGGAGCACCTGCTGGGAGGGAGGAGATCACTGAGGATCTGATCTCGTTCCTTTATCCAGGTAGGTAACTAAGCAAATGCCCTCCCCCAAAGAGGTGCCCTACACCCCAATATGCACATAACCCCCAGGACAAGGTATCTTCTTCCCCACCCCACTGAACCATCTCATCCGTGTCTCTCTCTTTATTGTTATTAAGTCTTATTTGGCCCACATTCAGGGGCGTTCAGTTTTCCCTCCTCAGTTAAATCTTCCTGAAAACACCCAAACAGATATGCCCAGAGGTGTATTTCTATAGTGATTCTAAATCAATGAAGATTAACTATCACATGTACCTGGAGACCTGGGTCCTGATTCGAGTACGCAATTACCAGCTGTCCAGGGCCAGGCTTCCCAGCACTACCTGGCAGTTGACAGCTCTTTGCGTCCCATCCTGATGATCGTGTGGTCCCATTAGGGCTGCAGCTGTTCTGAATGGTTCTGGCCATCCCTGTATGGGTGATGAATGATCTGCAGGGTTATCAGCATCCTGGGAGGGAGCCACCAATTTCCCAGCCTGTCACTTCACCATAATTTCTAAGGCACAGGGAACTGATCTCATCTCTGGACACCATTTGACTCTGTTTCTGCCCCAAGGCCTTCTTTGTGGCCAGGCTCAGAAGGGAGGGTGGGGAGTGGAAAACTTTTCTAGACGTTGACAGGCACCCTTTGCTGGCCTTCTGGACAGATGACATTCTAGATCCACTGGGCCCTGGCCTCAGCATATGCTCCTGACTCCCCTGAGACCCTGATGTCGGCGTGAGCGCCAATATCAATGGAGCTGCAGGAGGCAGGTGAGGCAAAGGCCACTGGGGCCATCACACTGTACAGACTGACCCTCTAGATGTGACAGAAGTCCTAAATCCTCCAAGGGACCAAGGATGGAGACTGTCAGGACAGGAAGGCTTGTGACATCACAAGCGTCCCAATAGACTGAACTTGAGTTACCTCTGCTTCTATCAAGGAGCCCAGCACAGTGGACAGAGATGGTGGATAGAGGCTGTGTAAGCCCCTTTTAGAGCCAGGCATTGTTTGAAGAAAACATGGTAGTAGAAGCCTATCTTGTAAGTAACAGGCAGTGGGGGCTCTGTGCTGGCAGGAGTAGCCCTCAGGTAACTGAGCAGGCTACAGGCCCATCCCTCCTGGAAGACTAAAGCTGCCAGGACAGTTCCAGAGTTTCAGGCCCAGGGGTAGCAGGCCAAGGTGCAGTTGGGGATTCAGGCCACTTCCCCTGGCCAATAGCTAAGGGAACGAGGAGCTCTAGGCTGGAGGAACAGGGGTGTGGGCAGGGAGACTTCATCTCAATACAGGATAAAACTTCCCACTGTCGGAGCATCCAATTTAGCAGAGGCTCTAAAAGGAAGACATCCCATCTTCCCTCTGATTGTTTGCAAGCTTTGAAGACTGCCTGTAAAACCTCCTCGGTAATTAAGTAGAATGACTCCATTTTGCCACGTAAGTATGGTTATTGCTCCTTGGTGGCTGCGATTAATATAAAAGCAGATTAAGGAAGCCATCATCAAGGCATAATGAGTTTTTAAATATTAATTAATATGTTAATAACCATTCTAGGTTGAGGGTGAGGTTTGGGGGCTGTTAGAGATTATTTCTGCTAGGGACCCAGGAATGCCAGCATCCTGCCCCCCCAACTTCCCATGGTCTCCAGAGGGTGTACTAGAAGGATGGAAATCAGGGCTCTGTTTTATTAATAGCCTTGTGCATGTCCAATGTGTCCTTCCAGACCGGTTTTCAGCTCACAGAACATGAAGCAGTGTGTGTTGAAGATCCTCGTTGGTGCCCGTCACTCCCCCATGCTTAACTGCAGTCTCTGCACCTCCAGAGGGTCTGGTTAAAAACGGGAACCCCAGGAGAGGTTCCAGGCACACTTCTCCCAGCAACGCGGAACCAAAAGCAGTAGGCAGAGGAGAGCTAGCAACCCGGTTCCGAGCTCATTCCCTGCTTGGGTCAGTAAGATGCCCAATTACATGCCTGTAGCCCACATAACATTGTAGGTTCTGACCAGCAAGCTCTAAAAGCAAAGCCACCATTGGGAGGAGCTGGGGGACAGTGGTCAGAGGATATGTGATATCTTGAGAAATAAAAAGGCATGATTTCTTCACAGCACTCTTGACTTCCAATCTTAGGACAAGCACGTGAGACAGTTCTGTTCCTAGCTGGGTAACGTTTTTTTTTCCCTAATACCTGAAGCCAATGAATGGGGTGGTTAGACCTGGACAATCTCAAGGACATCTACACATCTGAATCAAGATTTCACTTCTCCCCTGAAGCAGAACACATCAGATGGGGGGGGGCACGGTAGGGGGCTTCCTGGTAAGCGTGGACTCAGTCCCATGTGGGGCAGAGTGCGAATCAAATAATCCCACACTAGCTCCAAATAGGGTATACTAAGGTTTTGCTTATTAGAAGGGAAACTCACGGATCACAATGAGGAAACAGGAACGGGGTCTAACATCCAGGAATGGGAAGAGGCTAAGCGGGCATTCTGCTGGCCTTTTGGTACCCAAAGCCACATTCCATCTGGTCCAGCTCCTCAAAGACTGTTGACTGAACGAGGTTCCCTATCACTCCCCTTCTCCCTTCTCCCCTCTCTCAAATAACAACCAGCCACAGTGTCCTGGTTAGTTCAACCGTGTGGCCCACCATGATTCCCACAGTTGCTAGGAACTCAATGCTAGGGAAGACCCCTGGAATCTGAACCCCTCATCCTTGTTCTGCCATTAACTTCCTACAAATAACCTGGAAGTAAAACTGAAATTTCTTTCTACATGTTAACCCATGTTCAAAATTCTTACTTCTTTGTTGCTTTTTTTTGGATGAGAAGCCCATTCTTGGAGGAGGTTTGGAGGTTCAAGGTAGGTACCTCTTTATCCTTGCGGCCTGTATAGGATTCTCCTAGGATCATTTTCAAGACTGATGTTTGGATCTCAACCCACACGCTCATCTCTAGGGCTAAGAGCTCAGGTTATCAGCAGCCCATCGGTCTAGAACATGCCCAGAAATTCAAGAAATGCTCGCTCAGGTACCCACATTTTCCCTAGTCCAGCTGAGCCCCTGGGGAGGGGACTCCTGCTCTCTGTCCTGGCATTCTGCCCCAGGACGCGAAGAAAGTCTGGATGCTGTGAACCCAGAACCACCTTGCAACCAGATGGGTTTTGACCTTGCTGGGACAAGAACTTGAGCCCCATCCCAAGAGCAGCAACTGGGCTTGGAGGATCCTAGAGGGGCGTGGAGAAAGGCTGGTCATCAGGGAAGGGGGAGGGGAGCTTCCGGTTGGGCACCTGCCTCCTGCTACCTGAAGCCTCCATTCACAATGGGAAGCCTCATCTAGAAGGCCCAGCCACAGGCTTCATGTGTAGAGGTTCCAGCCAGGCCCAGGCTGAATGCTTGTTTCTGATCTCTTCTTGCAGCACAGGGGCCAGGGTGCTAAGGGATTGGTTTCAATGATTGAACAGGGCTGTCCCCTGTTAATTACAGCTTCAAAAGTCCAACTGGGAGGCAGATGGGGGTGATGCTAAACATTGACTTTCAAGGGCAACCCCTCACCACCCCCACCGCGAAGTTATCGCTCAGAGGTCCTCTGGGTTCTAACTAAAAGATCCCTAAAGGTTTGGAATCAAAGTTCTATTGGACATTGGAGGCCCACATGCCCGGTAGGGATCGGTCGATAACCTCAGAGGCTAATATTCTCTGTGTGACTATTGAACACGAAATTTGCAGCTGGTGTGAATAAGAAACCAAGCTTGTAAGTTCATTTAGTTCATGTAAATAGCCCTGTGGGGTCAGTGGCTATGGATTAGACAGCAAAACTCTTGGCAGAAGGGAGAAAAGCGGCTCAGATTCCCCTTGGGATCCACAGTTCCTGGTTGAGATGACAAGGAATGCCATGGTTGTCCTCTAACGCTGTCCTCACCACCAACCAAACCAGAGGAGGGGAGGAAGTGGCTCAAACGCACCCACAGATGAGGGAAACTATGTTGCGCTTTGAAGGACCGAGGTCTTCCGGAGATGGTTAGGAGTGTGGGCGGTTTTAGGAGCTGGAGGGGCTCACGTGAGAGCTGAGAAGTTAGGTTCCGAGCTGAGAGTGGTAGGACCCACAGTTCCTCCGGAAGACCTGTTCAACCGGTAGGCCACAGCTGCAAGCATCCCAGGGTAGCCATCAGCATGCCAGCACGTTTGTAGATGAAATCACGCACATTGCAATGCGCAAAGCTGTACACCCTGAGAATGGATAGAAGGTTTAGGAGGCACACCGCAGAGACACCCTGTTGGAGTGTTCTTGCGTCATAATGGGAATGCCTGGCTTGACCCACTGTGCTAGGGGAGCCTTTGGAGCTGAGCAGGAGCCTGCCTGGGCTAGCAGAGGAAACAGGGAGGCCTAGGAAACTGCCCCTGGGAGGGGCGTAGCTCAAACACCTGGGTGGCATCAGGTCTACAGAAAGTGGCTCCACACTGCCCCCTAGAGGATGGGTACTAGTCCCGTGCGCTCAACCTCCTCCTTGCCCTCCACGCAGCAGGGCTGTCATCAGACTCATTGGCTCCCAAGTTCTGAGATGAACTCTGCTCTAAGTAATTACAGCTCTTCAAGTTTCCCGTCCTCTGTTTAAAGAATTCGTCCTCTCGCCCTCAATGCCCCATCAGTTCCCTAATTAGCAGCGCGCAGCGCGATTACACATTCTCCGCAGCTCGCTGGGTCCGGCCCCCCTAATGAGTGTTTGTGGACAGCTGGGAGCCCAGTCCGCCGCCCACGAACCAGGAGTCAGGGCCCAGGAGTGTGAGCTGTCAGCTCCGTGATGGGGCTGGAGCTGGTCGCAGCCCTGCGGGCCTCCAGGAGGAAAAGCCTTGAAATATAAATGAAGATGAATATTCATATTTGGTTCAATAAGTGCCAACTATTAATATACATGTCTGTCGGGAAGAGGAGGTAGCGCAGAGCCAATTGTGCAGGGCATAATTGGGCTCCTAATTCACAATTAGCCTCGAGCTCCAAGCCTCTGCACAGCCAGAGCCTGTGCTCAGGCCCCCGGGAGGGCAGGGGCTGCCTGCAGGGAAGGCCAAACACCCCCAGGCCTCCTAACCTTAAAGCCCTCTAGAGGAGAAGTAGGGGAAGAAAATGAAGGGATCCCTTTCAGGAACACAGGTGGTCCCTGCTTCCTGGGTCACCTTTGGGCAGATACAACGCTCCTGAAAGCTTGTGGACTGGGTGTGGAGCTGGAGATTCTGAGGTGCTGGTTCTCCACACGCAAAAGCAGCTCACACTAGGAAACCGTGTGCAGTTCCATGGGATCTGAAGCCAGAATGCTAGTGCCAGACTCTACCTGACAGTCAGCCTCTGAAGCCTGGCATTACAGAAGGACTGGTACCTCCCTCATTCAGGTTCTCTTCCTGACTGGCTCAGAAGTGTTAATTCCCCAGATTCTGCCCACCAGTCCTCTATTGTTACACACCTGCTATCCCCATCTCTCCCCATCCCAACCTGGGAATGACCCAAGAACTGTGAGGAGCATTGTCTTCCCTATTCCCATAGGGAAGGCCCAACACTAGCAGACATTCATCAGGGTTTGGGATGTGGGACGGCCCTAGCAGGAGGGTGTGTACCACCTTGGGCACGAGCTAGGATCCTGGGTTGCCCAGACCTGAGGAAACTGGGTATACATGTGTGCGAGCACGCGCACATGTGTGTGAAGGCCTGAAGTTGATGTCAGGTATCTTCCTCGGTCATTCTTCACCGTAATTTTTAGCCTGCGTCTCTCACTCAACCTAGAGCTTGAAATTCTGCTAGATTGGCCAGTCCCAAGGATCCTCTGTCCCTGCTTTACCAGTGCTGAGATTATAGGCACCTGCTGCCACGCCAAGGCAAGAGCTTCCCTGTACCATCCCCCGCCCCATCCCCACCACTCCCCACCTGGGAGACTTTTGGTCCCCAGGCTTGTGTGTCTAGACACTTGGTGGCCAGCTGGTCATGCTGCTACGGAAGGTTGTGAACCTTTAGGAAGGAGACATTCCAGAGGAAGCAGGTCACTGTGGGGAGAGCCTAGATATTCTGTAACAGCCTCACTTCCTGTCTGCTCTCTGCTTCCTGGCTATAGATGTACGTGACAGCTTCTTCATGCTCCTACTGCCATTCCTTCCTCACTAGGTTAAGTTGTATCCCCTAGAACCGCAAGCCGAAACAGACCCCTCCTTCCCTTCAGTTGCTTCTTGTCAGGCAGGAAAGTCACGAACGCAGACCTTTCCTCAGGCTGGAGTCAGCTAAGCAGTGGTAGCCAGCAGGATCTCAAGGCCAGTCCTGCGAGAGGTAAGAAGGGTAAACACTGATCTTCTAACCTGTGCAGGTTCAGAGGTTTGGTGTGCTAAATGCATTTTCCTCCATAAATTTAAGCTACGTTTAACAACACAAGTCTAACAACACTGTAGATCTAGTGTAGGTGATAGAGCATGCAGAGATGTAACATAACGTTTGGATGAGTTGGAACATACCAACATGTTCCCTACCATAGCCTACTAAGAGCACCCAGAACAGTGATAGCCCATGACGGCAAAGCATGTCCTGTATTCGAATCTTGGTTTCCAAGAATATGTGCACACTAAAATGAGCCAGAGCCTTTTGAGGAAATGGCTGCCTTCAGAACTGGGATGGGAAGGTAGAGCCAGGCACACCTTGTTGCCCTGAAAGCAAATGGATACACAAAGAATGACAACTGTCGGAAGGACCCTGGACACAGATGCCGACTTAGAACCTCTCAAGGAATAAGAAACCGATCCCGTACTGATACATTTAACAAGAAATGGGTGTTTCCATGGACCCAAAGACCTTCCTGCAGTTACAGACTGCAAAGGATGACAGACAGACAGCACCTCAGTCACATGTACCAAATGGGGCACCAGGAGAAGTCAAGCTGCCCAATGCAGCCCAAGCAGGATCTTGAGCAAAATCTACAGACCTAAATTGAGGGAGGACATCTTACTAAATAACCAGCCCACCACCTCAAGTGCAAAGCCAGGGAAAGCCAAAGACCTGCTCTGCATTGAAGGAGAGTAAAGAAACATGACAACCAACTGAGGCACATCATGAATAAACAGGTTCCTTTCACTAAGAAGGCCATGACTGGGGCAACCAGTAAAACTTGAATGGGAGTCAGTGAGCCTTTGAACCTTGTCAGCTGCACTGAAAGACATGTGCTAAGACAATGGTGAGGTGTGTGTGTGTGTGTGTGTGTGTGTGTGTGTGTGTGTGTGTGCGTGTGTGCACGCATGCAGGCACACACATGTGCATGACAGGGTCATTGAGCAGCTATCTTATTTCCAAGTGGGTCTGTGAGAACAATTATGTGAACTGCCTTGCCACTTTAAAACACAGGTTATTTCAGAGAAAATTATAGAATATCAGAGGTTGGTCTTGGTCTAAACTAAGGTTCAAAGTTGGGAAGACAGAGCCCTAGATGTCTGAATCCTAAGGAGGGGTCTGCAGGAGGGGCTTGCCAGGAGGAGTTGCTCTATCTCTGGGCCACTTAACCAGGCATTTGCCTCCAGGTGGTAGGGGACATGGCCAAGGGCATGATTTTATGAGTGATGATTTCTCTGGGGAGGTCAGGCCTGAGGTGTCTCTTCCTTCACCTCCTCCAAGGATGGGGAATTTCTTGGCAAGGGGAAATTTTTTTTAACTTTACTTTTCTTTCTTGTTTTTTTTCTCCCCTTGTTTCCTTTGTTTTTTCTTTTGACTTTTTGATACAAGTCTTGCTATGCAGCCCAGGCAGGCCTCAAACTCAAAGTCCTCCTGCTTCTGCCCCATGAGTGCAGGAACTTCTGATGTGTGTCATTAGACCCACTTTAAGCAGGAGAGTTTTTGAGGGCACGTGACCTGACTCCTCTGTGCGTAGGGGCGAGCCCCAAATGATGGGGCTGGAGACCAAGTAGAACTGAAGCAGCCTGGGCTGCAGGCAGAAAAAGAAGCCTCTGCCCTGGGGTGAGGGTGGGCTTTAGAGCAGTAGAGATGCCCAGGGGGAGATAAATGTGTCCCCAGAGCAAGGCGGAGGCTACAGAACCCCAGATGTCTTGAAAGAATCCCTACAAGGGGGCCGCTGGCAGCATGGTGTGACTTCAGATGGCACAAGATGTCCCAAGAGGCTGTGAGGGCAGTGACAGCTTCATGCTCTGGCCCAGGTCCCCTCAATCTTCATATTGCTGAGGAACTCCAAGAAGGATCTGTGGGGCCTCCAAGCAGCTCCCCCTGCCTCTGTGGGCTCCTGGCTGCTGCTCACATAAAGGTATCTGGAAAAGTTACTAGTTACTGCAACATTTCTGTGTGACAAACCACCCTAGAATCCCCAGATGAGAGACAGAGAGTTGATTTTGTTCCCAGATCTGTAGATCACCGAGAAAGTCCTCCTTAGGACACAGGTTGTCTGGGTATGGCTGCAGGGCTTTGCTGGTTCAAGGCTGCTCCTCCAGTCTAGCATAGTCTTTATTCTCAGTGCATGAGATCCTCAGACCATCATATAACTCAAGAGGCTATACAGAACAATACAGTGCCTTGACCAGAGCTCATACCATTATTGCCTCTGTCTAAAAGAAATCTCAGTGCATATTAGTCTTCCATTCCTTCCTAACAAATGGTCACTGACTTCGCGGCTCATAACCCTGGCCAGATGCTCATGGAGTCTACAGAAGCAATAGCTCTTCACCAGGCTAGAGTTAGGTGTCTTCCGGCTGTGTCTAATTGGGATGGGGACTCCTCATCTAAATTCGTTCCTGCTACTTTGGCAGCAGAAGAACCCATGCCCTTGCAAGACTGAGGTCCCCAGGTGCTTTGAACTTCCAGAGGATGTCCTCATTCCTCCCTCCATGGTCTCTTAGTCTTTAAGTTAATTACAGTGCAAAAAAACCCTGTGAGCTTTAAATCGTTCTGACTTCTTCTCTGCCAGTAATCAGAGAAAAGGCTTTGGTCTTCTAGGGGCTCTCCTGATGGCTCAAGCCAAGGACCTCTGTATTTTAAGGCTGGCCAACAAGTGACTTCAACTGTATGTGCAGAATCCCTATACAGATTAGGGTTTCTTTGGATACACAGGGGTCAGCAATCTTGGAGAGGCATCTATAGACAGGAAAACATACTACATTCCCAAGGGAAAGGGAAGTAAACAGATGTGACACATTACCATATCCATCCTAAGGCCCCCAGGGCACCAGAAGATCCATTCATCAGCCAGCAGTACCTGCCCAGGACCCAATAGAAGCAGAGGACTCCAGGCTTCTGTTAGGTAATCTGTCCTGGTGCCAGACCTCTATCCTAACCCCAGAGACTCTCCTGAGCCTCTCTCCCTGGGCTTCGGCCTTCATCACTGTGGACCTCTGTCCAGCTTCACTTCAGTGCACACCAAGTCTTCTGTTGTTCGAATGTGAAATTCCCCTAGAGGCTCAAGTGTCTGAATGTTGTTCTCCAGTCGATGGTGCTGTTTGAACCTGTTGTGGAACCTTTAAGAGGTGGAGCCTTGCTAAAGGAAGTGGGTGGCTGGGGGTGGGCCTTGGGGCTTTATGACAACTCCTCACTTGCTGCCCACTCTGCTTCCTGAGTGTGGATGCCATGTAACTGGCAGGGTCTGCTCCTGCCACCCACCATGCCCCTGTCTTGGTTAGGATGTCTGTCGCTGCAATAAACAGCATAGTCAAAAGCAACTTGGGGAGGAAAGGGTTTATTTCAGCTTAAATGTCCATCCAGATCACAATGCATCATAAAGAGAAGTCAGGGCAGGAACTCAAGGCAGGAACTGAAGCAGAGACCAGGGTGGAGTACCGCTTAGTGCTTGTTCCTTTTGCTTTCTTAGATACGCTTTCAAGACCACCTACCCAGGAGTCGCCCACCCACAGTGGGCTTGTCCCTTCCACGTCAACCCCTAGCTATGAAAACAACGCCTAGGCTTGCTCACAGGCCCATCTTACGAGGGCATTTTCTCAATGGATGTTCTCTCTTCTCATAGGACTCTGGCATGCGTCAAGTTACGTAAAACTAGCCAGCACCCCTTCCTACCTGCTGTCACATCCTACCCTTCGTGTTGGACTGTATTTTCCTAGAACTGGAAACCCAGATAAACCCTCTCCCCCTTAAATTGCTTTTATCAGGATAGTTTGCCGCAGCATTTGGGAGAGGGACTAAGACACACCAGTCCCAGACAAGGCTCCTTTGCCCTCAGAGGTTCCAAGTCACTCTGCACAGCTCTGTGCTAGACCGTGAGAGGGGCTCCTCCTCCACGGTCCTCCTCCAGCATCTACCGTTTGCTCTGCCCCGCTCCCGTGATCTTTTCTCGTGTCTCTACACTTCCCTAGCCGTCAGGGCCTTGTTAGTCTGCCTTGGTCCTGCTCCCAGCCCCGCTCAGACCCTACTGAGGCGTCATCTCATACGGACAGGTTGCCTCGTGCTCACAGGCACCATGTCTCCCTACCACGCTGCACCTATATCTTCTGGGATGTCCCCAAGAATGGTGCGGAGAGTGACAATAACATCTTTTCAGGATAGTCTCTGTCTCCTACAGCCCTGGAGCTGCGTCATTGTGAGTGGAGGAGGTTGCTGGCTTCTCTGGGTCCCCTGTAGATCCTCGGGCAGTACAGGCACAAGCAGGAAAGGCAGCAGAGCTGCTGAGGGCCTTCAGGAACAAGGTCACATCTCAGCAGCTGAAACCAGCCAAGCTCCCTCCATCAAGTTTTTAACTAGAAAAATAGTGTGCCCATTTCTCTGTAATACACCTCTGGGCTTTTTTATTATGACTTCATTTCCCCTTGTAATATTGGAACGCCTCTATAATTGTAAAAGTGTAATAGAATCTAATAGAATTTCATTTGGCGCCTGGACTGCTCCGTGCCATGGCCGCTCATTCGGAGTGAAATAATGACGTCTAATGCCCACACACGGCTCCCCGTGACCTTATTCAATCTTGGGGCTGATCGGGAAATATATTGATTCAATTATACACTGATGACAAATGAACTCAAAGAAAGAGGAAAAAAAGGTCAGC